CCAAGCACACTCTCGCTGTAAGTACAGTAACCGTACTTATTGGAGCAATTAATGGTGCGGCCAGCGACTGAGTGACTCTCGGCCGCTGAAAGCTCTCTCTTTAGCAGGCTGGGTTCACTCAATCAGAAATAAATCAATGAGCTTGTCTTAACAGATCCATTCAGCCTTTAAAACTTCCCATCAGGATATCTGGGAAAGTGTTTCGGTAAATTTGAGACCGCATTTAACGCACCACAAAGTAGGCTGAACAATAAAAACATAATTGATCGCCATTCCTCCCCTCTCTTACAATCGGCCTAATTAAATGTCTCGCGAGCTGTGGATTGGCAGTGTGCTTCGTGGGCGACACGTGGCAGACCACTGCGCACGGCGTCCCGCGAGCAGCCGTGGACTGAGCGACCAATTTATTATCGGTAACAGTAATAACTCGCGCATTTGACGCAGCGCCTCGTCGTGTCTTCGGGCCGCCTCGAGGCGCTTCACAGGACACGTGTGGGTGACTGCGCATTTTGTGGGCGAAACGCGGGCCCCGGCGACGTCCCCCACAGACAGTCGTGGATTTAGTGACCAGATTATTATTATTCTGAAGCGTGACTCCCAGATAAAGCGATCCGACAATCAACTAACAAGGGCTTCCCCCCAAACACAGTTTGTGGATCGAGCGACCAAATTATTTGGCGACCGATCTTGTCACTCTCTCCCTCAATCCCTCCCTCCCTTCCCTTCCCATCTTCAGGTTGCGCGAAGAGACCTTCCTCTTTGACCAGTGCCTACGGTCACCTCTCTCCCCACCCCCCCCACCTTCTCGGATTCGTGCTCTGCCACTGTCAAATGCTTCGTGACTTTACCCTGTGTGTGGGGGGGGGAGGGCGGTGCTGTGTAAACGCAACCTCTTGTTGTTGGCTGAAAAATAAGCCTCGAAATTGTGGTACTCTCTTGTGTGGAGACCTCTCGTGGGTGGGTGACCTCACGCATTTTTGTTTTTGTGTTTGTTTTCCACGGAGCGGGTTATTTTTATATTTCTGGGAGAGGGTGAGGTGCGTGTGATCAGGTTTTTGGAACGCGTGTGTGTGTGCGTGCGTGCGCGCGCGCGTGTGTGTGTGTGGGCGCGGTAATTAAAATGGAAAAGGCTGAAGGAGGGGGAAGCCTTTATCACAGAGATGTCCGGGGACTCCTTGCACATCAGGGAACCGAGGGAAATGGGCTCAGCGCCAAAGCACAGCGCTGTGTGCTCATGTCCAGAACAGACTCTGTGACCGCTTTAACCGGGTCTCCAGTTACTTATTGTCCTTTCCTCCCCCCCCACCCTTCCCGCCCACCCCTCCGTACTCCTTATGCACTGAATTCTTGTGGGGCGAAAAGGGATTTGATGATAATAATAATAATCCCTGCCGGGTAGATGGTGTCAAGTGATAAAGGGATTCGATTGGGTGGCCGCAGAGAAACGGTTTGCTTTTTTGGGTGGAGGGGGAATCCAGAACAAGGAGAATCGTCTTAAAATTAGAGCCAAGGCCCGACCTGAAGGTGTGGAAGGAAGGGGGGGGCAAGGCGGAGGAAGGGAGGGATTGAGAGAGCGAGAGAGAGAGAGAGAGAGAGAGAGAGAGATTCGGGGCGTATTGGCTGAAGACGCATCCTCCGATGGTGGAGCGGAGGGCACGAGGGACAAGCAGGAGGCCGGGAGAAGTCGAGCGGGGGAAGGTGCTGGGGCGTGAAGGGGTTCGAACACCACCAAACCTCAGAGAGGCGACTGCCAAGGGGATAGACTGGCTTGCCTGTCAGCGCTGACAGTGACTGGCAAGCAGGGACTTGAATGGAAGAAAACGAAAGCCAGACAGTTATTCCCAGCGCTTGAGCCGGGGCTGGGGTTTGCCGCTGATGAGGATTTGTGCTTCCCTCTGGTGCGCTCACGGTCCAAGTGGATTAACGGGATGGGTTGACACACACACACAGACGCACACACAGACGCACGCGCGCACGCAGTGAGTGACTTGGGCAGTGCAGGCGACACCTGCTGCTGTCACTCAGACACTTAAGATTAACTGATCAACCTCTTGCCGGATGGGGAATTGGTAAATTCCCGAATACACATCCAACGCACAGCAAACAAAGCAGATCCCGCTGTCCTGCTGCCTCCAGGCTGCCTGGAACAACAATCCTTACCTCCAGTCAATGCTGTGAAGCGCTTTGAGACAAACCTGAAGACGCGATCAGTTGCTATCTCGAATGCGAGGATTATTATTGTCGGATAACGCCGACAAAGCGCTTCGCTGTCAAAGCGTAGTGGGCGTGTAATTGGGCGGGCGTAACGCGGCAGCCGACTGCGCGCAGCAGCGATCCCCCCACAAACAGCCGTGGGTCGAAGCGATGGAATTATTATTATTTTTTTAATGGCCGGAGACAGGAGTTCATCGCGTGGGGAGCCGGGCGGAGGACAAGCTGCTTTTGTGTTGGCCTCACAGCGCTGTCTGTTCACACATCAATGCTCTCCCAGCAGGGCTCAACGATCTGCCACTCGTCTTACCTCCACCCGCTGTCACCAACAGTGCCCAGATACCCACACACACACACACCACACACACACACCACGCCCGCACGCACGCACCACGGCACTCTGAACAACAAAGGGTATCTCTGTAAGGACACAACGCTGTGAAATGCCTTCTTTTGAACAGCATTTCCTCTGGCTCGCTGTGATTTTCTGCACCGTGGGAGGCCTTAAATTGCAGTGTTCCTTAACGGGATTCCTCGATAAGCAACTGCGTTAAATAGGGGCTCCTTCCACTCTCCGGGAGCACATCACGTCGACTTATCCATAATAATAATAATACTAATAATCCTCGCATTTGATACTGCGCCTTATCACATCGCTGAGGCATCTCAAAGCGCTTCACAGGGTATACTGTAGAGCGTAGTGACTGTATATTTTCTGGGCGGAACACAGCTGGAGATTGCATACAGCAGTGCCCCCACAAACAGCCGTGGATTGGGTGGCCAAATTATTATATTTTTATTGAAGGGATTATTGTTATCCCCAGAAAGTGATCAGTCAATGGACTGACAACCAGGTTCCTAGTTACTGCTCGGTCAACTTCGGCGCGTGTGGGCGTGTGCGCGTGTGCGTGTGCGTGTGTGGAGTAAGGAAACTTGCCTGAGGTTTCACCCCGACCCGCCCTGTCGGGAATCGAACCCGGGTCCTCTCGACTGCTTGCGAGGCGAGGGCTCTCACCACTGCAGTACAGGACTCCACAGCTCGTGCAGATGATTAAAAAATGACTCTGGCCCTCTCTTTTTTTTTAAAAGATGAATTATTGTGAGTGGAACGTAGCCAGCTCGTCCCAACTCTTAATCATAAGTGTAGTAATTGTTCATGTATAATGGTTTGCCTTCATATAAAATTAGTTCTAATGAGACTTCAGCTAACACAGTTCAGCCTCATGACTAATATTTCCACACACGGCACAACCTTAGCCTCGTAAATTATAATAAACAGCCACTCGGAGATTGATGTTAGAGGCTGGTTAATTGCAAATTTAAATTTAATAAAGAATTAACCCATCCACACCTTATAAATTGCAGGTTTATACATTGAATGTAGCGCAGGGTGGCAGCTATTGCGCTGTGATTGACCTCGCAGTAAGTAGGAACCCGGTTGTTAGTCGATTGGTGGATCGCTTTTCCGGAGGTAATAATCCCTTCCAAACAAACAATAATAATTTGGTCGCTCAATCCACGGCTGTTTGCGGGCCACTGGCTGCCGCCTTTCGCCCACGGTCACTACATCAGTACAGAATATTCTGTGCGGCGCTTTGAGACATCCCGAAGACGTGATAAGGCTCGGTATCAAATGCAAGTATTATTATTATATCAAATGCAAGGATTATTATTATTATTATTATATCAAATGCAAGGATTATTATTATTATTATTATTATATCAAATGCAAGGATTATTGTGATTGCGCGGCTCTGTGTTCTGGCCATGTCTGCGACAGCCTGATTGCCGTTTAGCTTCAGTTTAATTTACTGCCTGAACAGAGTAATCCTCTCCTTATCTCCCTCCCTGTTTAGTTTTGTTTCGTTTCTCTCCTCCGATAGCCTTTGCGGGTCATGTGCAGGCTGGGGCTGGGCAGGCTGGAACCGCGGTCCGCGATGAGGTAGCCGAACGCGGAGTCCTGTGGCGCTCTAAGCCCTCGCCTCGCAAGCGAGAGGACCTGGGTTCGATTCCCAGCCGGGCAGGGCGAAATGTTGGGCAAGTTTCCTTACTCCACACACGCGCACACGAACCACACACTAGCAGTAAGTACCAACCCGTTTGTTAATCGATTGGGGGCAATAATTCCTTCCAAAAGTAAAATTGCTGGCTCGATCCACGGCTTGTTCGCCGGGACCTCGCTGGGCGCAGTTGGCTGCCGCGTTTCGCCCGCAAAGCGGGCAGTCCCCGCGCTTGCCGAGGTGTCCCGAGGAGCGCTTCGAGATGTCTCTTGCATCGAACTGCGAGGATTTATTATTTTTCACCTTAACCTTCAAGGAGTGAAAGTGTGACATTTTCGAGGTAGTAATTCTGACGTCCAAGGTGGCACTTTTCACACTCACGCACACGCACACACGCCCATGAGCGCACCCACCCACGCGCGCACCCACCCACGCGCGCACCCACCCACGCGCGCACCCACCCACGCGCGCACCCACAGAGCCCCTTCCCTCCTGCCCATTATTCCTGCCTTTCATTTCGCTTGTGGTGTTGAGTGTAAGACACCCGACTGATTTACTGCGCTCTGCACGGAACAGCCCACTTAAGAGGGTGCAACTCACATCCCCTCAAGACGCCTGGAGATGCGAGAACCCGGGCACCTCACGGCCTGTCTGTCAAGCTCGCAGCCCGGCCCACTGGAGACCTCGTCACACTCACATTCACAGTGAGCCTGGCAGCAGCTCTCGCTCTCTCTCGCTCTCTCTCTCTCTCTCTCACACACAGTTGCAGTTGAGCTGTGAGCTCTGGCAGTGGGTAGTGACAGACTCGACCAAGGAATCGGTGGCAGCTTCCAGCTCCCAGACCTCCACTGCTTGTTTCGGCGTGTGCTCGCTCTCTCGCTCTCTCGCTCGACCGCCCGGTGGCTTTTTAACTCGCCCTTCGTGCCCAGCGACTTCGGGAATGTTCCTGTACTTTTGCCCGCCCTCCCTTGTTGGAATATCCGAGTGTGCGTTGACGCGGTGGAGGGTTTGATTTGAGCCGCTGCTTTGCGAGGATGCGTAAACCTTGACCGGGTAAGTTACGTCGTTCGTTAACTGGGATGTGTACAGCCCTTTACTTTGCAAATTGTCGCCCACGTGTTTGTTGGAGGGGAACCAGCTGTGGAAGCCTGGGCTACCCAACACACACAAGTTTCTCGCCGTGTCTAGTGGACACGGGCAGATGTGAGCACAAGTGAAGTGGGAGGGGGGGGGTGGTGGGGGGTGGTGAAATGGGGAGCTTTAACCCTGCAGGGACTAGAGCCCTCTACACCTCTCAGAATAGCTCCGACTTGCATTCCGAGTCCCCCGACGGTGACGATTTTCTGAAGAGGAATGTTAAAAAGAAGACTTTTGCTTCAACCCTGAAGTTATACGGAATTTAAGTGGTTAACGTTCATCTGTCTGTAATCTTGGATTAGGGTCATGCAACTGCGTCCTTCCTTTTTTTGCCCCCCATCATGATCTTTGCCTGGATAATTCACTCACTCACTCACTCACACACTCGCTCACTCGCTCGCTCGACCACTAACTTCTCTCTGGAGGTGGAAAGTTACACTTGACGTTGGCTTTTTTAGTTATCAAATGGGAAATGTAGTGGTTTGATTCATTCACAGCCGCCTCGGTTTTCTCCTGTGTCCTTTGTGATGTAGAAACAGTTGTGGTGGACAACCCTCGGATACTCTCGATCCCCTTTCTCTGCCGATACAAAGCCATTTTGCTGTTTAGGGGGTCTGGTTGGGTGATCAACCATGGCGGTGTGGGCGAACGCATATTAGCAGGAGCAACGGTTAATGATCGGTTTCGTGGGGGCATTGAGGAGCAACGGGCAAATAATCCCTTAAAACTAACCACCCCGTGCTCTTCAACTATCTTTACTACGAGTCTTTGTAACCTAGAAGCAGGGAACCAGTGTGGTGCTGATTCAATCCAGAAAGAAAGAGAATCGATGTGGACCCGAGCCGCTATTCAGACATTAATAATAATCCCCGCGTTTGATACAGCGCCTTATCACGTCTTGGAGATGTCTCAAAGCGCTTCACAGGATACGCTGTAAAAGCGAATTGACTGAGTGTTTTTGTGGACGAAATGCGGCAGCCAATTGCGCACGGCATTTGCTTTTGAGACGTCCAACCGACCGAACATGCGGCAGCTTCCAAAGCAGTTTTGAAGTCCTTCTACCCCACACCCTGCCTCGTAACGTTCAGCTGCAAAGGCAAAACCTTACACCTCCCCACCACGCCAGCCTTTCCTTCTACCCCTTCCCTCTTCCCCCTTTCCCTTCTCTCTCCACACGACTGAATTTGGGAGCAGACAAATGAAGTATAATCCTCACCCCCCCCCCCCCCATCAAACCCACTGCACAGAATCCTGCTGTCTCTTTCCTCAGCTCTTTCCCGCAATCTCTAAACTCACTCCGGCTACAGTACATCGTTGCAAGGTTTTCAACAGCAGTATTTCTGTGTGTTTTTTTGTTGGAACATCTTGAATATTGTCCTGCTCCCCTCCCAAAAGTGTCCTCTAGCATCGTAATAATAATAATAATAATAATCCTCTCATTCGACACAGCGCCTTATCGCGTCTTCGAGACGTCTCAAAGCGCTTCACAGGATACACTGTGCAGTGAATTGACTGTGTATTTTTGTGGGCGAAACCCTACAGCTGTGTTTTGGGTGGAAGCTGTTGTGCGACGCGCTGTGTGAATGGCACATCTATAGCTCCTCTGCTTTCATGCCTAGATTTAAGAACCATTTGTACTGGTTTACAGATTATTCTCAAGGAGAAATTAGTTATGCTTTTTTACTGTTTGATGCGCTGACTGTTAATGAATCCGTGGAAAGAGCTTTAGGGCTCAAACAGCAGATGCTTCGCAGATATCGCAGACAGAAGTGAGACCACGAACGAGACATGAGAAAACTGATGGAAAGAATAAGGTCGAGTGGAGTCCTGTAGCTCAGTGGTTAGAGCGCTCGCGAGCGAGAGGACCTGGGTTTGATTCCCGCGCAGACCTAGCGAAACATTGGGCAAGTTTCCTTACTCCGCACACACACACACACACACACGCCTCTGTTTACCGAGCAGTAACCCAGTTGTTAGTGGATAGGCCGATCGCTTTTCCGGAGGTAATAATCCCTTAGAAAAATAAATAAATGGGTGTGTGTCTGGCTCCTGCTCACTGCGCCGTCTTGATTTGCTTCGAAGGTGAGGCGCGGCCTTTTATTACAAATAATAACAAATAATCCTTGCATTTGCTACAGCGCCTTATCACGTCATCGAGACGTCTCGCAGCGCTTCACAGGATACGCTGTCAAGTGAACTGACGGTCCTGCTTTGTCTTAAACCACCCGGGGAAAAGTGCAGGAGCTTCGCCTCGCCTGCGAAGGATTACTTGCCTCTTTCAGTGGAAGCCGCGACAATTTAGGCAGCCTTTAACAGTCCTCTGCACGGCTGAGTGAGTGTCAGGGCTGAGTGAGCTCTGTGTGTGTGTGTGTGCGTGTGTGTGAGAGAGCAGGTTTATCACCAGTCGCGCTCCCCCTCTGGCTTCCAAATCTAGGCGTCCATCCAGCCTTACAATAACATTTATAATCCTTGCATTTGACCCGGCGCCTGATCACCTCTTCGAGGCGTCTCAAAGCGCTTCACAGGATACACTGCAAAGTGGAGCGACTGTATATTTCGTGGGCGAAACCCGGCAGCCAATTGCGCTCAGCAGCGTATCCACAAGCAGTCGTGGATTGAGCGACCGAGTTATTATTATTTATTGATCGATGTGTGGGGCACATTTGTGAGACACTCATTTTATTTAGCAATTTCCTATTAATAATTACCGTATCTCTTTCAAAGCGATCGGCCAAACGACTAACAACCGGGTTCCTACTGACTGGTAAACAGAGGCGTATATGTGTGTGTGTGTGTGTGTGGAGTAAGGAAATTTGCCCAACGTTTCGCCCGGGAATCGAATCCGGGTCCTCTCGCTCGCCAGGCGAGTGCTCTAACCACGGAATTACGGCTTAAATACAAGGCTCAAATAATCTTGTTAATATATTCAATGCTTTCAGATGCGCAGGGAGATGACCTTTGTTTTGGATCCTCGACTTTGTGGAAGAGTAACTAATATTCCGGCTGTCAGTTTCTGAATGCGCAACACTTTTAAAAGGCTTTTAAGGAACACGAAGGCATTTTGTTTTAATGGCACTTGATTGGAGGGCACGACGACCACAACGACTTGCGGTTGCATCGCGCGCCCCCTCACGCAGGGTAGGGTACCGGAGCGATGATTCCAGTCGAGTGTAGTGACTGTTTTCGCTGGAACGGATGGAGGTTGTGCAGTGATTGCATTGTGCACTGTCTGCCTTTGACAAGCTCTCATTCATGCCTCTGCCCCTAAGAGTATATATAGCGACGCTTGTTGACAAATTACTAAACCCTTCTCTGTTTGACAATTACAGAGGATTCTCTTAGATCAGACTGACGGGGACAGACCACAAACGTTGTATTATAAGTCAGGCTTCTATCTAACGGAACGCAGTCCATGACTGGCTACTGAGACAGCATAAGCATTCCTGTGTCTTCTCCCTGTCACCGGCTTTGTCTGCGGACAGCAGCATTCGCACTTGGGGACAGATTGTATATTCGGAGCAAAAAACGTCTCTGAATCTGTGAACTTCCTCTCTGACCTTACAATTCAGAACCCGGCCTGTTATGGTCGTTTGAGGGACACGTCGTGTTTTTTTTTAATATGTTCTATTACGTGTGAAACCTCTCAAAGCGCCCTCGCCATAATTCCTGTCAAGTGCGGTGACTGTCAAGTGTGGTGACCGCCCAGAAAATACGCAGCCAATGATAATAATAATAATCCTTGCATCTGATACTGCGCCTCATCACGTCTTCGGGAAGTCTCAAAGCGCTTCGCGGGGTACGCTGGCGAGTGAATTGACCGTATATTTTGTGGGTGAAACGCGGCAGCCGATTGCGCACAGCCACGTCAAGCTGTGGATTGAGTGACCAAATAATTTTTTTAAATATATTTTGCTGGAAGGATTATTACCCCCGAAAAGCGATCCGCCAATCGACTAACAACCGGGTTCCTATTTACTGCCGGGTAACCAGAGGCGTGTGAGAGGAGTAAGGAAACTTGCCCAACATTTCACTTTACAGTATATCCTGTGAAGCACTGTGTGACGTCTCAAAGGCACAATATCAAATGCAAGGATTATCGTTATTATTATTTTATTATTTAGTCTCTGCTAAATTTAGCAAGTTGCCAAGAGACTTGGCAAATGGTGGAAAGCTTCTTAGGGCGTACCAACCCACAGACCTGCTCAACTCCGCTCTGAATTACAGTCCAGATAAAATGCTTCGGGGATTAATTACAGTGCCGCACAGTTTTGCTGAAGATTTTTTTTTCTCCAAGGTTAATCGAAATCAGTCTGGCTCCATGAAGTGCCTGTGTACCAACAAGCTGTCACACAAAGCTGCAGCTCGGGGCCTCTCTGGAACACGGTACGCGTGGGCGCTGGTGAGCTCAGAGCGAAATTTAATCGGAAATTGCTCAATAAAACGAACGTCTCCCAAACACCCCGCACACATCGATCGATAGATGAGGTAAAGAAATAATCAGAAAGTGGTCGCTCAATCCACGTGTCGTGCGTGTGTGGGACATCGCCGGGCGCAATTGGAACGAGCTAGGGGTAAGAGAGGGAGAGTCTGTCTGGAACAGCTCTGCCGCTGCCTGGGAGCAGAGGCAGTAAGCTAATGTTGAATTGCTCTCGCCTGGCAGCGGTGGTATTGGCAAGGACAAGTTAAACACCGAGGTTTGTTTTCATCAAGCAGCAAATTTCCCTCCGAGTTCACGTGTGGGTGAGGGTTTCAGCAAATCCACTATTGTTCTAAAGAAAGGCTGTATCAGGTTACGGATTGAACGGAAAGGGCTACAATCCTCACCATTCATCTCTCTTTACTGCTCAAAGCGTAGGTGAGCTTTTAAATCATAACTGCGTGGAGTTCTAATAATAATAATAATAATAATAATCCTT